GACGTCGTGGGCGATGTACTGCCCCCAGGCCACCAGCAGGTCCGAGTACTGGCCGTCCTCCCGCACCGCCTCGTTGGCAACGTGAAGGACCTGCCGTGTCACCTCCCGGACCTGGAGAGGAAGGGATCCGCGGTTGGGCCGGACTGGCAGGGGTCTGTCTGGGGGTTGGGGGGGCTCACGGGCTGGGATGAGCCAGCACCTGACGAGCATGCGTCTGAACAGGCCTGGCTTCCCCTGTGACAAAGGCCTTAGGACCCACCCCCAGGAGGCAGGCGGGCCTCACTTTAACCTGCGGTCCCCTCGCTACTGGTGACGTCAGTTCCTCTGCCACAAGGGGCCCCACCCACAAGGGAGAGGGGGAGGGGGAGGGGACCCCACAGACACACCCGCACACAGCCCGCCACCTCCCCGCAGGCTCAGGGACAGGTCATGGAGCCTAACCCTAATGCAGGTCACGCAGCGTCGGGGCACTGACCGGGGGCAGGGGAACCCCGTTGTATAAGAAGTGGGGGTTCCAGCCTCGGGGCTCGCTGATGCCATCTTCGTAGGCGGGCGGCAGCCACCGGGCCAGGGCCGTGTTGGAGGCACCCCACCGGGGATGGTCTCTGTGGAGACAAAGGTGCCCAGGTGAGTGGGGAGGGGCAGGAGGAGGAGGGAGGAGGCAGCAGGTCCACCTACAATAAACCATCCTCAAGGGAAGCCCCTGGGCAGGCTCCCCCGGGCCCTGGCTCAATGCCGCCTCCAGCCAACTTCACACCAGGGCCTCCAGCCGGCCTCACACCAGGGCCTCCAGCCAACTTCACACCAGGGCCTCCAGCCAACTTCACACCAGGGCCTCCAGCCAACTTCACACCAGGGCCTCCAGCCAGACTCACACCAGGGCCTCCAGACGGACTCACACCAGGGCCTCCAGCCGGCCTCATACCAGGGGAGCCACCGAGTGAACGGGCTCCGGGGGGCGCATGGACCTGGATCCTCTCATGTTCCACGTTCCAGGTGCACCCTTCCCTCAGCCCAGGACACACCTTCCCACCTTCCAACAGCCCTTCCCGCTCAGGTGCCCCTCACATTGGGGCCGCACGGGGGAGGGGGGCCCTCCCTGCAGGACAGAGACTTGGGGGGCTCCCAGCACAGATGCCGTTTGGAAAGCTGCTGGTGTCTCGTCCCTCAGGCGCCCACCCCGCCCGGGCGCTGCGCCTGCTCCTGCCTCACACGTGCACGTTCAGTGCAAAGAGGCTGTGAGAAGCAGGTGGGGGACTGCGGAACCACCTCAGCTCAGGAGCGAGGTGGCGGTCGGGACCTTTGCTCTCTGCCTCTCAGCACCCAGGCTGGTCTTTGTCTACATTTGAGTCCCGGCCTCTCCCGGGCGGGGCCTGTCTGTGTGCCCATCTCAGGGTGGAACCTCGCGTCCTCCTGCTGGTCCCGTCTCAGCCCCGATCCACGAGTGGGGCCTGCCCGCAGCATGAGGCTGAGGCCCGATCCCCGCCTATCATGCACCCTGCTCGTTCCTCCACGTTCCTGGTCACCCTGTGTGACCCTTTCCTCACCCCCACCCTAGGGTGTGGGGTCCCAGAGGCCCTGCCATTTGGACACAGGACCGTGTGGAAGGCAGCGCTGGCCAGACGGGCGTTCAGACAACGTGTAAAGATGGGTGAGGGGCCAGGACAGAGGCCGGGAGGGAGGCAGGTTCCAATCCAACGAGCTACCTGTTGTTGCAGGCTCCCGTGATGAGCCGGTACTTGTCGGCCAGGCAGGTGTCCGGACACTGCGGGGGCAGCATGTGGGGCAGGCACCCCGACACGTTGGCGATGGTGCTCAGCAGCTCCTCAGACAGAGCATCTGGGGAACACCTGGGCGTAAACCCTCTGTGAGGCCACGCCCCCTGACCCAGCACCTGCCCGTGGGCTCCGGGTCTGGGTCCCACATAATAATCCTCCCGCTCAACCCCCAAGAGCATCCCCACTGCTCAGAAGACGGACTATATAATTTTATTTTCTTCTGATCTTTCAGAAAAGCAGGTCTCAAGAGCTCTGAGCCCAGGGAAGGCCAGTTCTCGGGGTGACCACGACCTCGCTGGGCACGTCTTCAGTGGCACACGGCACAGCTGAGGCCTGTGTCCAGCCACGTGATGCTTCAGTGGACGGCGACCACCTGGTATCTACCCTCCCCGCCTAAACCCTGCCGGGCCAAGTCCTCTGACGAGATGGGTGTGTCCGCCTACAAAACCTTCCTGCTCCTTCCTGCTGATGCTGGTGAATGTTCGAGGTCAGGACCCCAGAAAACAGGCTCTTTCGTTTTTGTGGGTTTTTCATTTGCCAATTCTATTGCTGTTTGTTCACAAATTAATTTCGAGCTGGTTCTCCAAATCCAATTTGAATAGCAGAGAAACAGTTCATCCTCAGACGAACAAAACACAAGATGGTGTTTTACCAACTGCTGGGTCAGTCCTGCGTATGAGTAGGGGTCATGCCTTCCTGGGCCCCCGCCCGGCCCCTGAAGAAGGTGTACTCCTGGCGGGCACTCCCGGGGAACCAGGACCCCTCCGAGCGCTCGCTCACCTGTTGGAGGCTGTGACTGCCGCAGGTAAACCCTGCTGTTCTTCGCCCACACGGACGTCTCCACGAGCTCTGCCGCTCGGGAAACAGCTTGGCTTGTTGGCTCAGGGAGTTTGGGAAAAGACAGAAGCCGAGATGGAGAAATGATGTCTCTTTTCTTGAGGTTCCTACGGCACAAAGGGGAGATATAAAATCTACTGCTTCTGGCCCAGCTGGTGTTCCCAGGAGCATCGACCTATGAAGCGGGAGGTCATGGTTCCATTCCCGGTCGGGGCACATGCCCAGGTTGTGGCTCGATCCCAGTGTAGAGGCAGCCGATCCATGATTCTCTCTCATCATGATGTTTCTATCTCTCTCTCTCCCTCTCACTTCTTCTCTGAAAAAAATTTTTAAAAAGAGAGAGAACATGGGCAGATTTAGTCCCACAGCCTGGAGAGAAGCTGCCAATGTCAGGACTTCCAACCCCCCCTACCCCCCCCCCCCCCCCCCAGGCCGGGATCGGTCATCGGCCGGGCGATGGCTGTGCTGGGCTCTGTTTCGCTAGAGAAAGACTGGGGGACTGAATAGTGCTTCCTCCGGCTGCCTCCACAGACGGTGGTAAGTGCATTAATCCACGTGAGCTCTGGTTCTGAATTTGCAAAACGGAGACTCTGGGCCCGTTTGGAGGTGGTTGTGAGATGAAACTCTGGAAACAGGCGGAGGTGTCACAGGACCAGGCACACCGGCCCGGGCATGGCCGGTCCCCTCCCCTCCCTGGGCGCGGACGTACCTCTCCCTCGTGCTGTGGGTGGTCGCGTCCTCCAGGCGCCGGCTGTCCTCCAAAACGCTGAGCGCGTGTGAGTCCTCGGACTTCCCTGTGGAACCAGTGGCACCCTCAGCGCGGCACGAACGGCCAGCACCGCGTCCTGTCAGCCTCTCCGTGGGGCCCAGCTGGAGGCTGTGGTGCAGCTGTGGCTGCTTGCACCTGTGCCCCTGCCCGTCTTCCCACCTTAACCTGTGGCAGCTCCTCTCGGGCAGAGCGCCGGTGCCCGGGCACCAGGACGGGGCCCACTGCTCTGGCCTCAGGTGGGTGCAGTGGGCTGTGCCTTTTTCTCACCAGCTCCGGCTGCTACGATTCTCTAGAGCAGTGGTTCTCAACCTTCCTAATGCCCGACCCTTTAATACAGTTCCTCCTGTTGTGGTGACCCCCAAACCATAACATTATTTTCGTTGCTACTTCATAACTGTAATTTTGCTACTATTATGAATCGTAATGTAAATATCTGATATGCAGGATGTATTGTCATTGTTACAAATTGAACATCATTAAACAGTGATTAACAAAAACAATATGTAATTATAGATGTGTTTTCCGATGGTCTTAGGCGACCCCTGTAAAAGGGTCGTTCGACCCCCAAAGGGGTCGCGACCCACAGGTTGAGAACCGCTGCTCTATAGCCTTTTCTGAATATTTTTGTTACCTGAACCAGCAATACAGAAAATTCATGATATTTGCCTTTTAACTTGTGCTTTTTTAAAAAAAAAATCCTCACCAGAGGATATTTTTCAAATGATTTTTAGAGAGAGTGGAAGAGAGAGGGAAAGAAAGAAATATTAATGTGAGAGAAACACATCGATGGGGGCCTCCTGCACGAGCTCCCACCAGGGCCCTGGCCGGGGAGGAGTCTGCAACCAAGACATGTGCCCTTGACCAGAATCGAACCCGGGACCCCTCGGTCCACAGGCCGACGCTCTATCCACTGAGCCAAACTGGCCAGGGCTTAGCCTGTGCTTTTAGCGAAAGATAAACCACTCCAATGGCCCGCAGCTCCCAGTGAAAAGACGCCCACTTTGTTTTATCTTTTAGTCCTTGGGATGGCCAGGAAGTGCCACGGTCTGGTGTTTGTCGTCCAAATTCACGGCTGACCTTCCGTCGCCCCGTTTGAGGGCGGCAGGAGGTGGGGCCTCACGAACAGGGTCCGGGCCCTGACAGCAGAGACCCCGGGGCCTCCCGTGGCGCCTGTGGACCAGGACGCGGCCCTTGTCAGACCCCAGGTCCGCGGCGCCTGGACTGGACTTCAGCCTCCAGAGCTGCGAGAAATGAGCATCTGCTGGTTGGGACCCCGGTGCACATGGTCCACAAAGTTGCAGACCCATTTCCAGGTTAAAATGCGAGGCTCCAAATGAAGGGTACGAAGTCCAAGGAACTGGAATGAATTTGCCAAATTTTTCCTTTTTAAACAAAGCCTGCTTCCTGCTTCTCCCCTCTGCAGGCCACGCCTCTCCCTGCTGGCCACGCCTCTGCTTCCTGCTGTTCATCATCTGCATCTTATTTTCTTTCATCAGCAGGACTTTCTGCTTTGGTCACCAGGTCTGGTGATGTAACACCCGCATTCCCGGAGGGCACCAGAGAAGTTACTTAACGGAAGGGAAGGGACTTTTGGCAATGGAGCAAGCAGATGCTCCCAAACACTCTCCTGCTCCAAGTACCTGAGCAGGTAAACGGACGTCTGTCGCGCACTCCTGGGAAAATCGGTTCTTTTCCAGAAAGAGCTGTTTTAATTCTGTTAAACTCATGACTGGCTCTTCTTTTTCTGGGGAAGCGGGAGAACCCGGGGGTCTCACACCTGCCTCTGAGCCCCAGCGCCCTCTGCTCTGGAATCGAGGGCGGGGACTCTGCCGGGCCCTCAGACCCCATCGTCTGTCACTTACCCCAGAGGGCCTTGCCCCTCAGGAAGGGGAAGGACAGGAGGCTGCAGGCCACGGCCAGCGAGACGCCCAGGGCGGCCGGCGCTCTCATTCTACAACCGAATGAAGAGACACACGCTCAGGGCTGGTCCCCAGGGGCTGCCTTTTGGGGCAACTTGTAGGCCGGCCCTCTGTCGCTGACCCTTCCTGTCCCCACACGGCGACAGGTGCCCAGAGGCCGTCGTGGGCAGCGGGGGACCCGAGTCCCTTCCTGAGCGGGAGGACTGCCCGCCCCGCAGGCTGAGCCGCCGCAGGGCCCTCATGACCCGCAAAGGAACCGGGCAGCGGAGCGGCTCAGTGACACGGCCCTGGTTTCACGCTGACGTCCAATTGTGCAAAGTCCCCGGGAGGAGGCACGGGAATGAAATAACTCTGCTTCCCGGAACACCTCTCTGCACAAAAGACGACCACTAGGACTTCGGCCATTACAGACCCTGAAGGCACAGGAATTCCGCAGCATCCTCTCTCCTGCTCATGAAATGATCTCGGAATCACAAAGCAGACCCACACCCATCGTCTCTGCGCCCCACACCCGCGTCTCCCTCATCGGGCTCCTGGCGCTTCCTGGATGGGATGCGTCTGGTCTGGAGTTAACTGACCGGCACCCGAGCAGAGGTCGGAGGTCAGGAGACCTCCCCAGGGTCGCCCTGTGGCCCACATCACAGCCCCCCGGGCCCCCGCACACGTTCCCATGGTGCATTTCTCCCAGCAAATGGAAGCAGCACGGCTTACAGCCTGACCTGCTCTCCTCTTCCGAGCCCGGAGGTGAGCGTGAGGACCAGAGCTCCTGAGGCCGCGCTGCTCTGAACACGAGCCTCAGCCGCGTCTGCTCCGGGCCCGGCTGCTCCCTATACGCGGGCTCTGCGCTCCGGCGCCCGCTCAAGTGGCCGCGCTGAGTGGCCGTCCCTGGGGTGTCCTTGCCGGGCGTCTATGGGCAGAGAGGCGGAGCCTCTGGCCACGCTTCAGGAGAAAGGAAAAGAAAACACGTTGTTGAGGAAGAAACCAGCTGAGTCGGCCACAGCACCTGGCCTTCCTCTCGCGCTTTCCTGAGTCGCTGCTAATGGAAAGAGGGCTCGGATGCTCGCTCGGCCAGCGGAAGGGGCTGCCCCGGGGACCAGGCGAGGACCCGCAAAGCGGGCTGTTCCCTCCTCAGTGTCCAGCCTCAGTCTCCCCTCCCTGGGGTGACGTTTGCTGGGAAGGCCGTCTGCCCCATCCCCACCTCATCTCAGGTTTCCTGTGAAATCGCTTCCTCCTCCTCTGGTTCCCTCTCTGGTCAGGAGTCAGTGGAGCATAAGGAGGCTGCCTCCCGGAGGGAGAGGTGAGGTGAGATTCTACAACAGGACCCAGAGCCCCCCAACCTCGGACCACAGGCTGGGCAGCCCCCCAATCTCAGCCACAGGCTGGGCAGCCCCCCAATCTTGGACCACAGGCTGGGCAGCATAACACTGTCACCATCAGCATTGAAAAGGTCCCTCCGCAGGGGACAGCGAGCTTGGAGGGAGCTGCCCCACCCGCCCGGCGGGGTTACACTTGTGCTGTTGATAAACAGTGAAAAACCAGCCAGAATCAAAACTTGGATTTTTTCCTTGTAATTGGACCTTTTAACGGGCCAGCTCTGGTCACGGGAATATGTGGTCCCAGGTGCTGACACTGAGTGGGTCCGTGATGGAGGGACATCCTGGCCCTCTGTACGGAGCGGGGCCCCTGGGGACTGGTCACCCTGGTGGGAGGTTTGGGTTAGAAATGACAATACTGAGGTTTGGGAGGAGAGAGCCAGGTGGCGGGCAGGGCCGGAGGGGGAGGGACTGGTTCTGGGCCTTGGGATTGCGGCACCACCCGCAGGCAGGCCCCCCAGGGAGGCAGGGAGGGAGGCAGGGCCCCAGGTCCCAGCCAGGCCTCCGTCCTGGAGATCTCGCTGCCAGACTCCACGTGGGGAGGGAAGGGGAGGGTGGAGAAGGGACCAGGCACCAGGAGTCCCTTCTTGACTTGAGTTAGATGCTGGGAATGTCACCCAAAGGTTTTCCTATCAAAACTCAATTTAAGTCCGGCCAGGGTGGCTCAGTGGTTGAGCGTTAACCTAACCAGGATGACCTAGGAACCAGGAGGTCACGGTTGGATTCCCGGTCAGGGCACATGCCTGGGTTGCAGGCTCCATCCCCAGTGTGGGGCGTGCAGGAGGCAGCCGATCCATGATTCTCTCTCATCATTGATGTTTCTATCTCTCTCTCCCTCTTCTTTCCTCTTTGAAATCAATAAAAATACATTTTAAAAAATATTTGCTTTAAAAACAACAACAAAACAGGAACTCGTGGTCTGACGACCATCCCCAGGGCCAGTCTGCAGAGGGGAGTGAGGCGCGAGCTCGTGTCTGGGGAAGTAGCACATG